AAATTCCTCAAAGTGCTTTGTGGCACTTCTCAAACTCCTTTAAAATATTCTCACTTTAGAATACATATTGCTAAATTTAATTAGCTAAATCTTTTCTTGTCAGAAATATCAGCCTGTAAGAAAGTATGATATCAGCCTTCAAAGATGGGTGACAAACTCTTATATCCAGGTTACTTTTTTAGCCAGTGATGCCACCCATTTCTGGGCCATCTTGCCTCTGCTATGACCATGTGCATTGTTGAACTCAACATAATATTGACCTAAGCAAGACACACTTGAAAGTATATTTGCACAAATACTTCAGGTGCCTCCCATAAAATGCATAGAATATATTCTATTTCAGGAAACATTCTTATAGTTCTTGTTCTTGGCCTAAGCAATTGAAAGTGGGTATATTAAACTCTATAAATATAATCTTAAAAGCCAAAACAATATAGTGTCCAAAAACACATAAGGATTGATGTTTAAGTGAAACCCTTGAATTTGTATCCTTAAAGAACTGTTTTTCAAACCATAAAATCAAAACAGATTAGCATTACCATGATATTCATTGGAGTTCAGTCCACACCAGTTATTAATATTTAAAAAGATCTTAATGTTCAGCATTAACCAGGTATAAAGGTGTTAGCTAGAAAACTCTGAAAGAGTAAAGAGAGAACACCAAATCATCACTAGGTAAGCAAACTACAGAAAGCAGCTATCACCTCTAGGACTAGGGAAACAAAGGAAATCATCAAAGCTTACACGCTTGAAGGAGACAATCTCTAGGGGCTGCTACTCAGACCACAAGAAGGGGGTGCCACTCAGCTAGGGTTGGCGCCCTGCGCTCTGAGGACCTGGGACCCCTGGGCCTGCAGAGAGAGCACCAAGGACTGATGCTGGTGTCTCTAAGAGGACACTATGACGCTAGTTCTGCAAGTGTAGAAAATGCTGAAAACTGGATTCAGCAGCTGTTTTGGGAAGAAACTCTTGCTGCTGGGGTGAAGTAGCTCTACTAGAATCCCACTTACAGGAGTTGCAAGAGGTGAGGAAATCCACGTGGATCAAACAGAAATGTGCATGTCCAGTCTTGAGCTTGGCAGTCTCCCTCTAGCACCCCCTGCATGCAGAGCTAACACACAGCCCTCTAGCAAAACAGGAACCTTTGCACAGGCCCAGGCCTAGAATCACAGCACCAGGTACAGGAGGGTTGTTCTGAAGCTGAAATAACTTAATAATTGGCATAGACCACCCCTTTAGCTACTCAGCATCCACACACCCTTCTACACATTTGAACTGTTTCCCCCACAACTAAACACGTGTTTCCATCTAACAAGGTGCAATTATCCTTCACTCAAAGGAAAATGTTCTCACCCTCTCCCCAAATTGGGAAGCTGCAGAGACCCAACAGGCATTACATTCATTTCTGGAAAACAGTTAGTGTCTTTGGGCTGTATTAACCATGCCTAGAATTCAGTCAAAGTCCCATCTGAATAATCTGCTACCTAAAGACAAAATCGTACATCTGACTTCTAAAAAACTTGTATTAAAAGAGAATGTAGAGAGATAAGAAAATAGATAACACATGCAAATTTATATATATAACAAGCGAGCAAGAAAATATGCATAACTACAATAGTCCCCAAGACCATCTGGCTTTTACATGCCAGACATTGAGAAATGAGTCTCCTATCTTCAAGGAGAGTATAGTCCAGTGGGTGAAGAGACAAGTCAACAGACTCATGTGAAAATCATGCAATGGCCGTTGTGTATTTTGAGGAGAGGGGGGAAAGCTTCAGGGAGAGATCTTACTATCTTCAGGGACAAATAGGTAACCAGAGTGGGCAGAATGTGGGGGGAAGGGAACACTGAAAATTTGAGAACATAAGGAATCAAAAAAAAAAAGCATTTTAAAAGAAATAAAGAACTTGGGGGTTGGTATACAGGAGTGAAAGGAAATAAGATTGAAGACAAGGAGGGGAAAAATATAAAGGAGCCTGACATACAAAATGAAAAGGTGTATATTTTTGCCCTAAATTCAAAGGGGAGCCACCCAGGGTTAAGCAGGAAAGCTTTCAACTTTATTCTAATATTTAGAGAAATGTCATTTAAAAAAAAAAATCCAGATTATCGCAATTCAGTACACAGGCCATGAGCTGGAGCTTCAACGTTGTCATGGGAGCAAAAAGTGGTGGTGAGGGGGAACGCGCACAGAAAGGTGTAGGTGTCTGAATCATGCAGCAGGATACCCCCCAAAAGGATGAAAAGCAAAGTAACTGAATTTGGTCAGGAGACTCATCAGCAGTTGAAGTTGCCTTTCTGAGACTAGAGCAGAGATGAACAGTCTTTTGAGGGGAAGGGAGGGTGGAAAGGCGGAGGGTGGGAGGCCATCAGTTTTAGATGTTTAACCCTAAAAGTATCATGAGATGATAATTGGGTGGCTACGGGGTCGCACAGAAGTATTTTCCTTATTTCTAAGGGGAGATCTGAGTGACTTATAAAGGAAAGGGCCCCCGGGGGAGAAATGGCAGAGGCAGAAGGATGAATGTCAATGTAGCCCCTTGGGCCAGAGCTTAATCTCTCCTTCTGACGCTGTTAATGTGGACAAATATCCTCTTGATTTGGAATAAATTCTCTGAAATTAGGAAAATAATGATTAGCCTGAAATTGGAAGAGTGTGGATATGACTAGGAGATCTATTTATTGTGTTGCCAGGAAACAAATTTGGGAACCACTGAAACCAATCAAGGCGCACCAAATAAAGATGCTGTTTTTATTTCCTAGGGCTGCTGTAACAAATTATCACAAACTGAGTGGCTTAAAACGACAGAAATTTATTCTGTCACAGTCCTGGAGGCAAGAATTTCAAAATCAGAATGTCAGCAGGGTTGGTTCCTTCTGGAAGCTCCATGGGAAAAGCCGTCCCAGGCCCCTCTCCTGGCTTCTGGTGGGCTTGGCTTTCCTCAGTTTGCAGATCACGCACCAGTCCAGTCTCCACCTCTGTCTCCACATCATCCTCTCTGTGTGTCTCTGCATCTCAAATCTCCCTCTGCCTTTCTTTCATAAGTACATCTGTCATTGGATTTAGGGCCTCCCTAAATCCAGGATGATATCATCTCAAGATCCTTAACTTAATTATAACTGCAAAGAAGGTCACATTTCAAGGTTTTAATATCTTGGGGGACACTAGAGGTGTATAATAGAGGATCTCTGTGGCTAGAATGCAGCTTCTCCAATGAGATTCGTCAATGCAGTGTTGAGGAACTCCAGCTTGGGGCCAGACAGTCTGGGTCAGGAACCTGGTTTTACCACTTAGTGGGTGTGTAGTGTAAAATCTTTGTGCTTTGGCTTTCCCTCTGGAAAATGAAATAATGCTGCATCATAAAACTCACAGGGCTATTATGAATTTTTTAGAGTTAATGCAAGTCAAAGGTTGAAAGTGCCTGGCCACCACCTAAGTCCTGAGTTAGTCGTGACTTTGAGTCCTCTGCTAAGTAAGACGTTCATCTGTAAACGGACTATCTCCCTGGCTGCCTACCAGTTAGGTGTCTTTGAACAAAATTAACTACTAAATCTCCAAGTGAAACAATTCACATAACATTAATCAAACATAGATTTTATATATGTATGTATTTAAAGACTGTTAATACTATAAAGACTAATAAAAACTCATAAGAGGAGGAATTAAGTGCTGACCTCTGGGAAAACATGCTGACATTTACGAAGTAAGCTAAGTGCAATTTAAGCTGAGTATAAACTTGAGACTGACTTTTTATTCTTTAAATATCTAACAAACAACATATATGCCCATGCGGTTGGCTTGGTCCTTCAATTAATCAGCTCACATCAATGGGTATTGGAGGCACAGAATGAAGAGGGCTTTTTTTGGTGGGGGAGTGTGCCAGCCCACAGGTGGTCTGAACAGGATTACAAAACAATGAATGGCTTTTCTTTGCCTTTGCTACCCAGTCAGTGTAGAAAGTTAACCCTCTTGCCCTACCTTCTCTCTAGAGCTGTGTAGGAACATTGACTCCTGGGAGGTGAAAGAACATTTTGGAATATTAGTTCACTTTTGCATGGTTAAAGTGACTACGTTTTTCTGTTTTACCTACTGTGACATGTGAGGGAGCTTTGTAAGAGCACATAACACAAGTGTTTGGAAATAGCAATGCTAAATAACAGCATAAAAGTATTTATACTCAATTTATACTGAATTATGCAATCAGCACCCCATAAATTCATTCTTTCTCTGGTAAATGTTAATCTCAAAAATGGATGCCTTTTAAAGCAGTGGTCCCCAACCTTTTTGGCAGCAGGGACTGGGTTTCATGGAAGATAATTTGTCCACGGATGAGGGGGTGGGGGACGGGGGTGCGTAGAAGCATTGCTCAGGCAGTGATGCGCAGCCTGATTCTTAACAGACCTTGGACTGGTACCAGGCCATGACCCAGAGATTTGGAGACCACAGTTTTAAAGGATGGTATTTGGATAGCCCTGGAGACTATATGCAGAATCCTAATAGTTTTTAAAGTATTTTTCAATTTGACTAAGATAAAATTCATAACTTTATTCTTGTCATTGCCTTTACAGTTAAGCAATCTTGTGAAGAACCAAAATTGATCATGCTCAATTTCAGGCACCCTGGCAATCTTATCAGGCTCTGCATTCAATTTATTTCTACTTTGCTATGAAACCTAGCAAGTTTTTGATCCCTATCTTTAATACTAGATTTTTATGCCAAAGTTCTAATACAAACTGCATAGCTAGATGATAATCATTAAATGTTACCAGATATCAAGTGCTTAAAGAAAAATTTATTAAGCATACTTCTTCCACTTTGGAAACTACAAAGGAAATAGTCCTACCTACATTCCTGCTTTCAGAGTTCAGTCTAATAGAGGAGAAGGAACAAAATGAGTCCAGAGGACTATAAAAGAAAATCACTAGTTGTGGGCCTATTATGGCATAAAGTCTGGGTTTGCCGTGTTCTAACATCATTATGCCTCTAACCCTGCCTACAGGTGTCTGTGGTAGGTTATGTTTATTTGAGATTTCTCCATCGGGAATTGCCTGTTGTCACTAAGTGTCTGCTGGTGCTGGGACTTGCTGCCTGCCTTCTTGCCATGTCTAACGAAGTAGAAACAAGTACAACCAACGGTCAGCCTGACCAACAGCCCGCACCAAAGGCACCCTCGAAGAAGGAAAAGAAGAAAGGTACGGGGAGTCCCCTTAAGGCCAATGATTAGAGCTAGAAATGGTTACCTCTGGAAAAATGTGAGATTCAGGGTAAAGTAAAAGCTGGCTCTTGCCTTGCTTCATCCTCAGATTAGTCTCATGATCTAAACAGGAAAGTTGTGTTTTGGCAGAAGGAGATTGGTTCTCCCTACATGTGGTAAGACATATCTCTGAATCTGTGATTGCACCAATGTAGGTCCTGCTGGGAAACTTTCAGAGTGTCTTGTTCAGTTAATAATACAACCATCAATTATTATATGGTTATCTTTCAGTAATATGCTTACTACTTTGCTTTTCTGAAGTCACTATTTTCTATAAATCAAGATGTTTATTTATGAGACCCTCTTCTTTTGACCTGAAGTACCACTAGAAGAAAGTGCCAGAGACCTTAATGACCCACGGTTTGGGAATATGCTGGGACTTGCTTGTTTTTCACTACTACACTTTAGCTCTGGGAATGAGACTGCACAGGCCTTTAAGAGGAACAAAAGTAGTTATAATAAATATGGGATAATTATCTTCATAATTTGTAAGGGAATTTACCCATAATTCCCTTCTGCCTTATTGATTGTTCAAAATGTTGGTTAATTGTGTGGTGGCTTATTTTTCTTTCATCAAAAAATATATATTATCCTTCTTACATTCTTTCAAGACCTTTTAAAAAAAATCTATGGTGAAAAATATCCCCAATTCCCACCTCACATATTCCCATAAGTTTCTCATATTCAGTCAATTTTGCACTTCTAAGAGTTTATTTTTCTCCCCACCCCAACTCCATACACAGTATCATGGAGCATGATTTAGCTTCAAAGAAAGTAAAAATCAGACAGGGTAGATAGTGCATATATGATCAACTGTAGTATAATTAGGATTTATACTACTTAAATTTTGGAGATTCTGGAGCATATTTTGTCATATCTAGGACTGGTAGTTAAATATAAAGTTTATCTTGTATTTCTTTCTTTTCTCAGGCTCTGAAAAGACAGATGAATATCTCTTGGCTAGGTTCAAAGGTGATGGTGTAAAATACAAGGCCAAACTAATTGGCATTGATGACGTGCCAGATGCAAGAGGGGATAAAATGAGCCAAGATTCTATGATGAAACTGAAGGTAAATGGGAAAAGAATGCTTTATCTGTATATTAGTCAAAGTCAAATAGAATTATGTTAGAACCTCTTGACTTATGTCTCAATTATTTGAAAAAAATTTTTCTGATCACATTATTGATCCAGTAATGCCTCATTTTCTGAGAAGCCATGAAATTGTTTGCATATTTCAAGTGCTGTTCTAGAGACCTAATTTAATCAAGTATAGCAGGACTCTAGATGGCTTTCCTTTTGACAGATTTAACATTTGGACAAACCAAGGCTTTCCCTACCATTTCCCTCATTAAATGACTAGAAAATCTGTGTCCAAATATGTTATTTGTCTTACTTACAGAATCTCCTATTTTAGACCCAAGAAATGTTCAGGTAAAATTCAGGACTCTACTTGGAAACTGGTGTTCTTAAGTGTTAGCCTTTCTTTTCTTTGAATTTTTAAATTTTAGTACTATGTCACTATGTGAAACAGAATCAATAATACTTGCTAAATCATGCAGGGCCTAGAAGAAAAATCTTTAAAGATCTTCCAGTCCAGTCTTCTCATCTTTACCAATATATATTGGGGCCAAGAAAGTGAGAGTGACTTGTACCTAACTCTTTCATAGATGGCCAACCAAGCTGAAAACAGAGCTGACTGTTGTTTAAAATTTTAGTATTAGAAGCATTGGAGGGTACTTTTAATTAGATGTTTCTTGTTTTCCCAACCTCATCAGGGAATGGCAGCAGCTGGTCGGTCTCAGGGACAACATAAACAAAGGATCTGGGTCAACATTTCCCTTTCTGGAATAAAAATAATTGATGAGAAAACTGGGGTAAGAATTTATGTTTACGGACACCTCTGTGACCACCTGAGTTTAACAATTTGCTACTTGAATTTCAACTCCCCTTCTTCCTTCTCAAAATTCCATAGGGGAAAAAAATAGTATATATTACTTCTCCAAAAGTAACAGGTAGAAAACAGACTAGGAGGTAAGGAGTCAAGGTAATTTATTTTGAAGTGCATTTCCTATAATAGATGTGAATCTTAAGTCTATAAACACAGGTATGCTATAAATACCACTTGGGTATTTTTTTTTTTTTGTACCTCAGGTATATAGAATTAGATTAATCCTAACCCCTGGATTGTGACACTTGTATAAGCCTATATATGTTTCTTATTTTATTTTAATGTATTGATTATGTGTGAATTACCAGCTAACTTAAAGTTAGAACTTTAACCATAACACATTTAGATTTTTTTCATCTCTTTCTTCCTTGCCTCCTTACTCTACAGATATAACCTTTCTCATTTTTTGTGATTGCTGTTGTTCTATCACATATAGAAAGTCTTGATTGTTTTGTTTTTGAGCCTGATCCAAAAGCTATCATACTTCAAGTCTTCTGAGACTTTTTTCTATATTCAACATAACATCATAAGATTCATCCCTTTAAAAATGTTGTTTGTAGCTCTTTTTCATTGCTATAAAATACTCTATTGCATCAGTTTACCTTGGGAGACTTCCAGTTACTGTTCGTCCTTTCCTGGAAAGATACCCATTATCTAATATGCAAAATCCACCAGTCAAACCTAGGGCCCGGCCCCCTGGTGCACACTCACTCAGCCTGCTGGTCCTCGGGTCCTCAGGCACTACTGTCTCCATCATTCTCCCTCTTCTCTCAACTCTTATTTTCCCAAGTTCATCAGAGAATGGTGGCAGATTTTTCTCACAAGGTTTTCTCTGTCCTCAAACCATCTAAGATATTCAATATAAACTTTTTAGTGGCCTTAGGCATTTGGAAACAAAACCAAAACACATTCTGCCACCTACAAATATCTCTGAAGAGTTGAACCCTGCGACCTGCTTGAAAGGATCACGAGAAAGGGGGAAAAATAGAGGGAAAGACACTACTAAGCCAGTGAATTCCCTGCCCCATGTAGCTCCTGGATAATGACATGGACTGTCTAGGTGAGGTAGAGAAATACTTGATGACAATATTTGGTAACCTCCAGAATATACTGGGGATACTTGTTCCAATAATATATAGGATGGTTCCTTGACCACCAGGAGTCCTTGTCAAAGGATCCCAGTTACTGTTCACTTAAGTTTGCCTTTGAGTTGGAAAAGGAGAACTACCTACTTGGGTTGATTTCAGGGTTGTATGTTCCCTCTTCACTTTAGAAATTCTTGGTCCCCTGATCCTCAATCCTTCCTTGCTATGTGGCGTAAGGAGAATCAAGTATCAGTATTTTAAGAAGGAACATTCTTTTCATTTTTGTTTTCTATTCTTCCTTTCTTTTGAAGCCCTTTCTAGCAAGGATATTTCTCCATCCTTCAACCAGAGATGAAAAAGTCTTTCTTCAAATGGTTTAAACTTTTCATATGTGTCTGATGCTTAACTGTGCTAGCCTGGCAAATAGATTCTAGTTTTCTCACTAAATCATTCTGTATATTCCTTTGAAGGTAATAGAGCATGAACATCCAGTCAATAAGATTTCTTTCATTGCCCGAGATGTGACAGACAACCGGGCATTTGGTTATGTGTGTGGAGGAGAAGGCCAGCATCAGTTTTTTGCCATAAAAACAGGGCAACAGGTGAGCTGTAAGCCTTGAGGTATACCTGCGACTTGTCATCTGTTGAGCATAGGAGTGTCTGTCTCTCAGCTAGAAAACTTGCTGGAAACACTTGGATGTAGGAAGGCTAAATAATGATTCAAGGAGTAACTATCTTTATTGGCCTAAGGAATCTTTTTAAAATGTCATTGATACCCATGTAGTGTGTGGCACAAGGCTTGTGAGAATGGACTTTCTTATAAGGCCAATGCTGATTTTAGAACAATAGTGAATTATTCCCAGAAACCTTGAAGGGACTTCAAAAACAGTCATGGTACCTCTTGTTTTGTCTAAATACTTATTAATGTGCTGTCATTTATGTACCTGAGGGTGGGGATTGGGGCAGTGGTGATCCCCTGTAAGCTAGAGAGGGTAGTAAGGAGCTTTAAAAGAATAAAAAAACTAGTATTAATCTGAACTGATGGGGGACAAAGGGAAGAAAATAATAAGATTAAAATACTGATAACAATGCTTTCTCTTGCTTCAGGCTGAGCCATTAGTTGTTGATCTTAAAGACCTTTTTCAAGTTATCTATAATGTAAAGAAAAAGGAAGAAGAAAAGAAAAAGGCAAGTACTACCTGATAAAGGTTCCATTGAGCTTAAAACTAAAGCTATATTCAGGACCATGTTTAATGTTATGTACACATACGGCCTGTCTGAAGAGTTGGCTTCTATACGACTCTTCAAAGTATAGAAAGTGTAGAAATATGTTGTCTGTTCTTTCCAGTAGGTAATGGGTGGATATTACAGTGAGGCACTTCTGATTTCCAGGTCCTGACTTTTATGTCTTTCTTCCTACAAGCTTCATATTGATTCTGGGAAATATATAGGACAACCAAGTTTAAATCCAGAAACTCTATTCAAATCTAGTATTGCTATGAAAGGGAGAGGAGAATATAGGGCAGAGATAATACGCAAGTCTCATTCTTGCCTTATGCTTGTGAACCCATAGGTATATTTGTTCTTGTATTTAACTCCTCCCTTTATCCACAAATACTAAGGTCACTCCATTTGTATCTTTCTTTTTAGACGGAAGAAGCCAACAAAGCAGTAGAGGTAAAGCTTCATATTTACCCCTTGTGAACCGTGTGTGTGATGTGCTACCTGCCCAGGCATTCTCCCCTCCTGGCTAATCACCACGTGTTTATGACCTCTCTGGTCATGGGAGATATACATTGAAATGATCAATGCCAAAACTGTTTAGCAAGCCACTATAGTAGGCAAATAAATTCTACAGGAAAAACTCATCAATTAAACTTTTAAATATTTGCCATCTTTTCAGAATGGGAGTGAGACCCTAATGATTCTTGATGACCAAGCTAACAACAAACTGAAGTTGGTATGTATGTGATGTTTTATAATTCTTATTCACCTGAACGTGGGTTCTACTTCCTCTAGATTTTGCTAATACCAAATCTGTATGGAATCTGTATGAAAATCCAATTGTGACAATTATTTTCCTAAATGTTAGTGTAACATTTATGTCTATATGCAAAATAATCTATTGAGTAGACACACCTGGATCTAATCCAAATACTTTTTAAGGTGTGGACCAGTTGGATTTGTTTGGGGACACGTCTACACTTCCTGACCTAAATAGCCTAATATCAAATTTGTATTAATTAAATGAAAATCCAATTGTGACAACTATTTTCCTAAACTTCAGTTTAGGAAACAAACAATTACAGTGATATACAAAGTAATCTTTTTAGTAGACACATCTGAATCTAATCCAAATACTTTTTTAAGGGTGTTGACCAGATGGATTTGTTTGGGGACATGTCTACACCTCCTGACCTAAATAGTCCAAAAGTAAGTGTTCGTTTTAAAATTTGCAATGTAATGGAAATGGTATCTGTGACTCAAATTGGCAATTGACCAGAAATCTTAAGCATCTATTGAAACGCAGAAGGTGACTGTTGATTTTTGCACACAAAGCGTAAATGGCTTTTAGAAGGAATTTTAATCTTAAGTCACCGTAGGAAACTATCAGCACTAATTCCTACATATTAATATTGCTTAAAGGTTAAATATGAGCAATAGGTCAGGCAATGTAGTCCCTCTTGTTATTACTTAGGATCAGAAGGAGGAGGTCAGTGTCAGTCCTTGGCATAAGCCTCCTTGAGGAAAGTATGATTGTTATATGATTAATCATGAAGCTTCCTGGCATCTTCATTTCTTTCCCATTCCGTCTGTTGTAATTTAGCAGCATAAGGTTGGTGTGGACTAAGCCTTAAAACAAACAAGAAGCTCAGCTTAGTTATGTTTAGCCAAAGCCTGTCCTTCTTAGCAAATTACTCATTCTTTAAAGGATATTACAGTATACTGAGTCTTCTTAATATTGACTGATCTGTAACAACCCTATGAGAATGGAGCAATATTTTCCTTTACAGATAAGGAAATGGTGGTTTAGAAAAAACCTAATTTATCCAGGAAGAGGTCCAGATTCAAGGTTTATGCCCAAGTCTTCTGACCTTTCAAAAAAGGCCTCAAATGAAAATATCAATGTAATTTTGAATGCCTTCTTATAATTTCTATTATTTACTTAATAGTTTCCTGAGTACCTGCTATTTGCTAGGTATGGCAGTGAGTAAGAGGCATACATCCATGATCATGGAATTTGCTACCAGGGACCAACAACATTAAAACTAATCCAAAGCTAATTAATTGGTATTAATTACAGGGTATTTATCTGGTTTAGAGGTTTAGATAATGCTTCTGAGGAAGTGAGTTTCTCAACTTGAACATGAAAAATGAGGAGGCAGTAACTAGACAAAAAGAGAATTAGTCTAGAATAATGGGAAGAATGTCTAGATAGAAGTTTCTTATATCAGGAAATTATCATACAAGATTATATGACCAAGAAGGTCACAGGAATTCAAGCAGCAGATCCAAGACTGGGTAAGATTCTCACTTTCTGGAGTATTGCAGAGAACACCAGCCCTGTGAGTCCTCACTATGTAAACCTTCCAAGTGAGACAGGGAGGTGCCTGCACTCTTCTCTGACCCCAACTGTATGAGAATCACAAAGCACCATAGCATTTTAAAGGCCCTAAATAGACCCTAATAGAGAAGCCTGTTAAGTTTTCCTTTTAGAAGTCCTGACTCACTTGTCTATAGGACCTTTCATTCTTCATGTTTGTTATGGTTCTAAGGATAAACTTTTTGAAATACTAGATTAGATGACACCGAAAGGTCCATCCTAGCTCTGAGACCCCTTTGATTCCCAGGCAACTTCGCCCTCTTCTCCATCAGCAGCTGTCTCCCCAAAATGAGTAGGGACATCTGAATGACCTACTTCCTAAGTATAATTGACATTCAGACAAGTATATTGAGAGAGAGCAAAGCACTCAAGATGCAAAGTGGAATTCCAGTGGGATAGGCGAGGAAGCACTGACTATTTAATCTGCTTTTATAGACTTCTAGAAAGTCCTGAAAAAGGAAATGAAAAACAGCATGGGTAATCTTGACTTTCATTTTTATTAGACCTCATACAATCTGAGAATTTTTGATTTACAGAAATTCAAGTTTTGGTTAAACTAATAAATCAAAGTAATAAATACCATGAAAATAGATGATCTCTGATAAGTAGGAGAAAGCTAACAGGGATAATTATGTGCTGGTTACACTTTGACAACACGTTCTTACATACTGACTCTACATTTATAGGTCACAAAATAGATTTATCCCTACTCGGTAACACCAGCATGTTTAAAAATATCTAACTCTTATAACAATTGCTCTGAAAGATGTGAAGAGAGAAAGAAATCTAAATTACCTAGCCTCAATTAGTGGCTGTCGCTCCTCCAAAATTTATACAGAAACGTTTTATGAATTTCAAATAATGCTCATGTTGCAAATTAAGTGGCTTCCTTTAGGAATATAATTTTTATTGGAAAACCATTTAAGCATTATGTTTCCAGACTACATCTCAAAAAAAAAAAAAGCAAAAAAAAAAGCATAAAAAATGCAATCTAACTTTAAAAACTTGAAAATTTGAATCTGAAAGCAAGGCTATTATGAGAAGAATGCAAGGCATGATCTACCATCAAGGAGATTAAACCTGGTACAAATGATGGGATCAGGGTACAAAGTGCAGGTGTCACATATACACTTGTGCATACCCCATAAAATGTCATGAGATGAGCACAGATGAAGTAGGAATACAAAGATCAATGGGGAAAGGCTTTGTAAAAATGGGAATTTGAGTTGGCCCTTTGAAGTGTGTAGGAAAATAGTAGTTAGGCTAGAAACAAATTGGGTCCTATGGTGGATGATTTTGGAAGTCTGCCTAAAGAAGCTTATTTTAGTACAGGGAATAGCAGGAAGCCACCAAAGGCTTTAAGTAGGGAAGTCCTCAATGTGGTAAGCTGTAATGGTTAGGTGAGATTAGAGAAGAGGTAGGCTATGGAACTCCGTGTTTTGAACCTTGTCTTCATGCAGATGCCTTTTGGGTTGCCTGCATGCCGCCCTTACTGGACCTCTTAAGAGCAGGGACTGTAACTCACTTCAGTTCTCTAGGGCCTGCCTCTCAAGTGCTTAGACGGTGGTTGGTGGATGCAGTGTTGACAGCCCAACAAAAATTAGCAAAGCTCTGACTGAGAGGGTGGATGGAGGAGTCTTACATCTTCTCAGTGGTAGTCTATGAACTACACTCTTAATCTTGGATTAACAACAAACCCAACCTGAAGAGAGCCTTATACATTTTACTTATAGGGTGACTATTCAGAAGTCTAACTTTGTGGCTCCTGTTTGGTGTCCTAAGAACTTCTTCTGAAGTATTTGAAAAGGAGAACTCTACCGCTGTGAAAACCCAGAGGTGGCTCATAATAAATGAATAAATACTGAAATCACAAGCTTTTGTAATACATTTTATCCTACCTTTTGATTGTATAAATTTCCCTCAATTATGAGGTCTTCCAATCCATTTCTTTGATTAAAAAAAATTTTTTTTAATTATATGTATTTTTCTTGTGACAAATTCTTCTGCTTATAAAGAGAAAACCTGGCTTTTAAAAATTGTGTTTTTATACCTCGCAGGAAAGGAAGCCAAAAGATAGAATACCATGTAGTTCTGATTTTGTTATCTCTTCTATGGACACAAAGTAGAATGTAAACCTTCTAAAAATTGGTTCTTTTCTCTAAAAGCCAAGGAGGCCTATTTGAACTCTTTTTATGTTTACTAGTTTGAAAATTTCATATTTCTTTGAAGTTGTTTTTATCAAAATATTTAGTACTCTGCCCAGGGTAATGCTAGAAATCTACTCTAACTTCCACTTTCAGCTAGGCATTTTTCATTGTTTATATTCTTCTATGGCTAGCACAGTTAAGTATTTAATGGATCAAAGTCAGTCAGAAGGAAGGGATGTCAGTATGAAAGATCTATCCCAGGGTGAATCATAATTAATTATGTCATTAACTGGAATAAAGACATGTCAGATTCATCAAATTTGCAGCTTTTTCTGCTGAAGAGGATTTTTTATTGAACAATTGAAAACCCCCAAAAAATAACATGTCAGAGAAATGATAGTTAGGGAATAGAATTAGTAGAGCTCTGCATTTGCTATGTCTTTCAAAATAACTCTTAAAAACACACATCTCTGCCTTACACAGTAGTACCCTGTTATCTTCAGGGTTCACTTTCTGAGGTTTCAGTTACCCATGGTTAACCGTGGTATGAAAATAGGTGAGTACAGTCCAATAGGACATCGTGAGACAGCGAGAGACTGAGAGCCCACATTCATATAACTTGTGTTATAGTATATTGTTATAATTGTTCTATTTTATTATTAGTTATTGTTGTTAATCTCTTACTGTGCCTAATATGTAAATTAAACTTTACCATAGATACGTATGTATAAGAAGAAACATAGTATATGCAGGGTTTGGTAATATCTGTGGTTTCAGGCATCCACTGGGGGTCTTGGAATGTATCCCCCAAGGTTAAGCGGGGACAACTGTGTATAAATTAAATATTAGTTATCGGTTGACTTTAACCACTGAATAGATGAGATTACAAAGGCAAATCTAAGCAATGTTACAAAAATATGTACAAATATGAGACCTTATTGTGTGATAGATTAGATTAGATCAGTATTTTGAGTGTCACTTTTATAGGACACAGACAAATAGGGTATGTATGTCCACAGGAGAGACTAGGATGATAAGGGTAAGAGCTCCTATTTGGCTAGCACCTTCAACAAGAGCCTTAAATATTTAAAAAGGCCTACCTGCAGGCTGTGATATAAAGGGAAATCTTCCCCCTGCCCTGCCAGAGGAAAGAGCTGGACCAATTATATATAGGGAAATATATTTGACCTGAAACTTCATCATAGCTAGAACTATAAAATATGTATATATTAGCCAATGCATTTGCTCATTTAGAGAGGTGATGCCACCTGACTCTGGGGGTACATAGAAGGGTCTGTATGTACATCAGGTGGAAAGCTGGGATAGGCTTCTTAGGTAACTTACTTTCAAGTCCAACATACTTTGATAATCATTTTGAGTGGCGTGCTAATCAATTCCCCTTAAGATTCCAAGCCATGAATTGAAATGGTGCTCACAATGAACTCACCTGGTCTGTATGTGTCAACCAGGGTGAGCAGAGATAGGATGTAAACAACAGTAAGATTTCACTAAATGAAGCTGAGACTTAAAACGAGCATGGGATGGGGCAGAGGCAGGAGGACCTAGAGTACAGCTAGAGAGTCTTGGACTTGGGGAGCTGATGGGAGGAAGTAACATCCAACTGCTTTGTCTGGACCAAATTCTAATGGGACTTTTGATAATCCTAGTCATCTTATGTAGTTTTCTCATTTGAAGTCACAACATGGACTAACACTTTCTTTTTTTTTTTCTTTCCAAATGTGATAGGAAAGCAAAGATATCCTGTTAGTGGATCTAAACTCTGAAATCGACACCAATCAGAATTCTTTAAGAGAAAATCCATTCTTAACAAATGGCATCACCTCCTGCTCTCTTCCTCGACCAAAGCCTCAGGCATCCTTCTTGCCTGAAAACGCCTTTTCTACCAATCTCAACTTCTTTCCCACCCCTAATCCTGATCCTTTCCGTGACGATCCTTTCGCACAGCCAGACCAATCGACACCCTCTTCGTTTGATTCTCTCAAATCTCCAGATCAGAAGAAAGAGAATTTGAGTAGCTTGTCTGCTCCACTGAGCAATGGGCCCCAGAATGGTGATGTTGATTATTTCGGTCAGCAGTTTGACCAGATCTCTAACCGGACTGGCAAACAGGAAGCGCAGGCAGGCCCGTGGCCCTTTGCGAGCGCGCAAACTCAGCCAGCAGTGAGAACTCAAAATGGGGTATCTGAAAGAGAACAGAACGGCTTCCATGTCAAATCCTCCCCGAACCCTTTTGTGGGAAGCCCTCCCAAAGGACTGTCTGTACCGAATGGCGTAAAGCAGGACTTGGAAAGCTCTATCCAGTCCTCACCACATGACTCCATAGCCATTATCCCACCTCCACAAAGTACCAAACCGGGAAGAGGCAGAAGGACTGCTAAGGTGAATTGTCTTCTCCACATATCTGTTAGCAGAGTGCATGTTCGGTACCAAAGGGTGGTGTGATGCAAGCTCTCTTTCCTGCTGCTCTCGTAGTTTCCCGTGTGGCTGTGAAATAGAAGGTGGGATGAGGCACGTCGGTTCTCCAGGAGTATTTTCCTCTAATCGCCATCCTTTTAAAGCTTCTCAGCAGTGTTTGTCACACCCTACTTTCCGTTTGCATGTCTTGTCACTTACGATTAAACTAAACACAAGTTTTTCCGTTTTTAATGCTGCTATGCTTCTGTACCTCTGGTAAGTTCGATCATCACGTTCTGGGATGGGAGGGCAAGAGTTTTTGTGACTCTCTTTGTACCTTCCCCATACTAACACACGCCCTGCACGCTCATCGTGTTGCATTAATGTCAAGGTGGTGGTGTGAAATTTTAGAGTGTGTCTCCACTTTTAACTGCTGACTGACTAACCCATTGTCTCAGAAGAAACTTACATATTTACTATTACCACTACTGCTATGACCAGCTTCATGCAAAAGCAATTTAAAATGCAGCTTCTATAGGTATCTTTTTGGAACTCTCATAGGAATATGCAGGCTCATCTAATGATTAACACCATATCATCTTTGTGTAACCTGATTTACATCCAATGGAATAATCAAAAATATTCAAGATACTTATTTATAGTTGCCCTTTCTTTCCCAGCCTCAAGCTTTTAGCTGATAAGGAGACCAGACCAATACAAATGCATAAATGAGCAAAATAGGTTTCACTTTGCAAGTCTTCAGTTGTATGAGTCACTTTAGTGACTTCCCAGTAGTCTGTCCATTGCAGGAATCTCTCTCGCCTCTCGCTCTTTTTTTTTTTTTTTGGTATCAGTTATAGTTGTTTACCAGTAATAAAAAAAGTTTCCTTCTTGTGGCTTTCAAATTTGGGGTGAAAAGTAGGAGACAGAATACAGCTGTATTTCACTATTACAGAGTAACTAACACTTCTCCCTCCCTCCCTGTCCTGTCAGTCTTCAGCGAATGACTTGCTTGCATCAGACATCTTTGCTCCTCCCGTCTCAGAACCTCCAAGCCAGATGTCACCCACAGGACAATCTGCAACCCTACAGACCAACCCTCTGGATCTCTTCAAAACAAGTGCTTCTGCCCCAGTGGGGCCCCTTGCGGGCCTAGGTAGGTGTCTGGAGATAGAGTTAGGTGTGACTCTGTTACTTTCACTCACAAAATGATGATGCATGGGGGAAGCCGCTTCACATCCATGGGGGGTTCCATAGGCATAAGATTTGAGCACCCTCAAGAGCCCTTCTCCCATTCTCACTCCTGAACATCTCTAGCTCCACTGGATACTCTTGACTCAAAACTGAAATTTGGCTCCTGGAGGTGGCATGTGACAAGAAATCCATTTTCAACATTGGACTTACTTGAGCCAACTGGTAATGGCTTCCTGGGAGACAATTGTAAGGGATTCTGGTGCTCAGACCAGCTTCAATGGAATAAAGGGGTTGAGAAGAGAGAGCCTTGTCCGTCATCACTATTGGAAAAAATGGCAACATGCATGTCTTCTATATCATTTACTGTAACGGATGGAAGGCCTATCCCCTATCAACTCTTATATCCCTCTTAGAAGGGACAGATACCCCAAGAAGGATATAAAATAAGTCTGAAGCAAGTATAAGTCAAAGAACGAAAGTCCTGGGTTCTGGGCCCGGCTCTGTTCCTAGGCACATGGTAAGGGTAGGCCAGGCAGCCACCCTGAGCAGTCTCTGAATGCTCAAGCCCTAGCGGCCCCTTGCCAATATTTTGGCTGGCCTGACTGTCTTACTAGAGTTAGAACATAAGGACTAAAAAGCTGAAGTTGAAAAGAGCACAGAGATAAGGCAAGAGATGGAATCTTCTCAGATGCCTAGGATGTGTTGGTGCCCTTCTGCATGAAGGAGTCCTTAGCTCCAGTGAGCCACCGACCACTCCAGCAGAACAATGGGGAAGGGGCTCGACTGAGGGCTGGCCGGCTGCTCTTCACCCACAGCCGCCACTTGTTTTGGACTGCATGGTACAGTTTTCAGAAACCCTAACAATTGTCTTTGCTGTCCTGCTAGAGACTGTCTTTGTTTTTCTGCTTCTTGGCACCTCTGCAAACTCCAAATAGACTCTTGCATTGGAGGTGGAGAATTATATATGAAGCAGGATTCTCCTCCCCTTTGGTAAAATTTGACCAGGGATCTTGGCTTTCTCTGCTTCCTGCAGAGTCAGTCATCAGGATCCTAATATTTTTTTTCTCTGCTGTTTTCCTGCAAAGGAAAATATTTTGATTCTTCTACAAGAAATCTGCTTAATCATATCTAGAGTAGGGTGGCAAAAAGGGGAGGGGGTGTTACTCACCTGCCGAGTGGCTAACATCCATGTGGGTGTGAGAAGCCAGTTTGTCCCAGGTCTCCACTCAGATTTATACTGTCAGGAGACTCTCCCTGAACACCCTGTGTCTCCTGGGGGCTTCCCCCTTTCTGTATCGCTCTTTTCCCTGAACCCCCAAGTGGAGCTGCTTGGTGCCTTTCCCTCGTAGAAGAGCAGAGAACTTGCAAGGCAGTGTCTGCAACTAGATCACATCACAGAGCTTTGTATCTGACATCAATGCCCTGAAGAATTTTTACAGCCAATATTTAACAAGTCAGCCTGAAAATACAGCTGGACCCTATAACTGTTAATTTATTCAGACGAAGTGAAGCTTTTTGGCTAGGTGCCCCTGTTGAGGCCTTGGGGTATACAACTGCAGAATACTGATGACTCTTCCAAGTTTAGACATGGAACTCAAACTGAGCTCTACAGTATAGTCCCTGTCCACTAGCAGGGATCCTTAGCCAAGGCGTGGAAGGTTGTGGGTCTGGCTTCCGCTAGACCCAGCTGGGGCACTGCCTCCCCTGGAGCACTGGGGGGTAGGGAGAGGGTATTGTAGGAAGCTGAGCCCTCAGCTTCGATTTGCTACCCTGTGTTTTAATCTAGCTTCGGAAGGTAATGAAATTGTTTTATGTCCGTGTTTCCTTTTCTCCTAGTCCTTGCCGCTGCTTTCTCCAGCTGGGCCCTAAATGTCTTGAAACACAACGTACGGAATCTGGTGGGTGGGGATGACGGCTGGCATAAGTATATAGTAGGAAAGTCTTTAATTTTTGGCAAATACAATATTTTTCTCTTTTAAAAACACCATTCTCACGAATATGATCTATGACTACGGCATGCATTTTCCTAAGGGAAGGCAAGTAGTCCAACATAAAAGATGATCAAGTTCTTCCCTCTTTTTTTTTTTTTTGCCCATTCAATGGGTGGAAATTATTAGTGAGTGATCTGGTTCCTGTTAATAAAATTTAAGTAAATGTGTTTTAAAATGCTAGCAATAACTTTGTTCAAACTAAACCCACTTTTAGAGCCTATTGTAGAATCTAAGAGAACTTTTCCCTTGATTTATTATGAAAGGGGTATATTCTTTAGTGCAAATGAAGTCTAATTTCTATATCTGTGGAATCAGTATTTGAATTAACACACTAGCTTTTAAAAAATAGTCCCGTGCCTTGCTGCCAAGGAAGCAGGACAAGAGGACGGGGTGCTGGGTCCGGAGCCTGTGTGCCTGGCTTTCAGCCTCTACTGTCACAGACTGTGATCTTCCCAATTTTAATTAATATTCCTCACCTTCAAAATAAGCATGTTGATAAGTAAGTGGTTTCTGAACCACACCACTCTCTATTGAGTACACCATATGCATTTGTGGCCAGATGGCCAGCGTTCGTGATAATAAGAGTGGAGTCGAGTGACACCAGTCTCCCATACTGAAGTGATTTAAGATAGACTATTGTGCTACATACCCCTAAACACCATTTTCAAAGTATTTCTCACTCTGGAAACAAAAACATTCCTAACCCAAGTTTGAAGGCCTTTTCTTAGTTGGATTAGAACACTTTTGTAACTAAAGAATGCTGTCCTGGAAAGCTCAAAATAGATTTCAAGAGCAGAGCATCATCTGTAAATAGGTATGAGGTTGAATTTAGGTTTTTTATTAGTGGTGACAGTTTAACTGAATCATTATTACACTTGGGAAAAGGCAAGGGAAAAATATATTATATATTAGAACAAGATGCAGGGAATGAGCCTCTCCAGAAGAGGGGGACAGTCATTGGAGACACCTGGATTCTAGTGATTTAACTAATTCCTGCCGAACACAGCAAGGATGCAGGAGATGGAGCCTTTCACTCACAAAGATCAGAAGCCCTGACAAAGGCCATCGCTTGCCTCGCAAGGTTTTTATTTCCATTGTCCTCTCTCCCTCCCTTCCTCTTCTAACTCCTGGCAAGGTTTAGTGAGTGACACATGGCAGGAAGCACTTTATTTGAAACAGCCCTCCCAGGATAACAGCCTTTCCTCCATTTTTATATATAAAAGTCTAAAACTATCTTGGCATGAGCCAAACTTTATCTTCCCTTTATATAGCTGTGTCAACCTTGGCAGCATTAAAAAGCGAGGAAACTTTGAAATGGTTTCTTCAGGATGTAAGCATGTTGAGGCCTTATGCACATGTGTGATCACTGGTTTTCATAAGACTCCAGACACAAGGCAGCTGCCAAATGAAAAGATCAAATCCATGACTCAGAAAGCCCCGTGGATTATCTCAATTAACCACTTCATAATCAGTGCGGTTTGTGTAAGTAAATGTATTCACTCAACAGGTGAGTTCCTGCTATCGACAGACTCTGTTCTCGTTGTCTGAAGTCTATCAAACAACTAGTGGCTGTAGGATAAGGGCTCATTTTTTTCACGACTGGGTAGTTATGAACTGTATTGCCTTTTTATTAATTCATTGATGAGTTTTTCTTTTTTTGCTTTATAAACACTTTTTAAAATTTTTTTTTAATTTCAGAGCATTACAGGGGTACAAACGCTTTGGTTACATAAATTGCCTTTGCACCACCCGAGTCAGAGCTACAAGCGTGTCCATCCCCAGACAGTGCCCACACTGCACCCTTTAGATTCAAGTTTACTGTATTACCTTTTTAATGAGGAAAGTTAAAAAGGCAGGGTAGAAAGAACATGGGCTTTGAAATGCAACCAGCATTTGACTGCCAGCTATATGGTAAAAGCTACTTAACCTTTAGAGTGATTTAATCACTCAGTTTTTATATTTCCCAGGTCAGTCTTGGGTCTGGATGAAGGTGTTTGCCACCAAGATGGTGGCAAACGCTCCCTGGAGAGTTTTGCTTTCTGAAATTCAAGCATCCTCTTCAAGCTTGTCTCCTGATAAGTGCTTTCTCCCTCTTCCTTCAGGTGGTGTATCAGCCACACTCCCTCAGGCAGGACCATGGAGCACACCTTTGGTCTTCAATCAGTCCACTTCTATGGTCCCGGGAGCCATGATGGGTGGCCAGCCTTCAGGTTTCGGTCAGCCTATTGTTTTTGGTACAAGCCCAGCCATTCCAGGTTGGAACCAGCATTCATCCTTTGCAGCCTCGACTTCCCCTCCAGCTCCTGCTGTTTGGGGCCCTTCTGCATCTGTGGCACCCAATACTTGGCAGTCAACAAGCCCTTTGGGGAATCCTTTTCAGAGCAACATATTTCCATCTCCTGCTATGTCCACTCAGTCCCCTTCTATGCTGTCCTCTCTCCTGGTCACTCCTCAGCCGCCTCCTAGAACTGGCCCTCCAAAGGACATCTCCAGTGATGCCTTCACTGCCTTAGACCCACTTGGGGATAAAGAAGTCAAGGAGGTGAAAGAAATGTTTAAGGACTTCCAACTGCGGCAACCACCTGCTGTGCCCGCACGGAAAGGGGAGCAGACTCCCTCTGGGACTTCAAGTGCCTTCTCTAATTATTTCAACAGCAAAGTTGGCATTCCTCAAGAGAATGCAGACCATGATGACTATGATGCTAATCAGCTGTTGAGCAAGATCAATGGTAAGCTACTCACTATTCTGCCTACTGTACCAATATTTCCACTGTCAGGGTGGGCCCATAGGGTCCCTCAGATGAACCCTCTCCCACTCCCCGAAAATCTTGTTCTTGTTTCTTTTGGTAATCGAGGGTTATGGAGACAACTTAACCGGTTACCTTTTGGAGCTGGCCAGGTACCTTAGCCCTTTCTAAGGGATGACCCAATGCTGCCCTCTAGTGGTAGTTCCTCAAAGGGCTGCCAAGAGCTAATGAAAATCAGTGGGTGGTGGCACTTCGAAGGCTGTATACTAAAGTCTCGTCCATATCCTTGGCCTTAAACGAGGGGATTCTGCATCTCTTCCACTTCAGATAAATATACATGGCTTTCTCTTCTGAGAATGGATGGATTTGCCTATAATAATCATCAGGAGTCCTAGTATCTGGTGGCGATTTTTGTTCCACTGATACAGATTTCGTAAGTTTAGAACTAAATTTCAAAGATAAGTTGACTGGGTGACTTGAGCCTATATTTGGGGAAAGCTTGTCTACTGACTACTCTGATTTTTTTGTGTTCTAGAACCACCAAAGCCAGTTCCCAGACAAGGTGCCCTGCCAGTTACCAAATCTGCTGACCATGCATTTGAGAACCCTTTTTCTAAAGATTCTTTTGGTTCATCACAAGCCCCCGTAAGTATCAACCACTAGAGCTGTTGCTCCAAAGCACATGCCACATAGAACTACTGCCTCCTGAATGAACCTTGCTTTCATAATAACTTTTTGAGGGTAAAGTGTGTTTGACTAAGATTTATCATTGAGAAACTTCATAATCTAAACATTCATTTAAACTAGGGGAAGATTATTTATATTATAGGAAGTACTATCTTCTGAATTTGCAAAATAATATCACATAGAAAATGTCCTTCAGATCTCACTTAACCTGGCTTATGAAAGTATTCTAGGGGGAAACTGAGCCAAAATACTATCTTAAAAAAACCTTTCAAAGATTGAAGTTCTTAATTTTCCACACATGGTTTTGTATCGCATACTTTCTACTTGGGAGAGGCAAATGTAATTAACTTGAACTTGATTTTGATGTAAATAATATATATCACCATCCACAACCAAGTGGACACAAATCATTGTAGACCCCTATAGTATCTGATTAGCCTATGACCTAAGTGATTTTTAAAGGAATTTGGGAAGTCTTCATTGTAAGATTTTTTTTTTCTTATGACTGCAATTATATGGTTTTATCTTCTTAGATGATTTCTGCTCAATCTGCATCTTCTGATATGTATAGGGATCCTTTTGGAAATCCTTTTGCCTAACTTCTGTAAGTAGAAGATCCTATTAAGTTTATCTTGGGGCTTTTGGTGAGAAAAGGTGATATGGGGGAAAAGGGGGAAAATTTAATTTTAAAATTGGAAAGAGGATAAATATCAATAATTTAGGAGAAATAGACATGGAAATCTATACTTAGCTAATTCAATAACTAGACAGGAAACTTAAGGAAAGAATTCTTAAACACATCAAAAAATAGTAATATACCCACCAGAATATGGATTTCTACCTTATCCTATGTTTTTGATTTTTCATTTCTGCATGGAAGTAAACTCAAAATAATATATAACAGCTTTCTAGCCTTTTTACCTTCACAGTGAAGCTATTGCAAAGAAAGCATCCTAGTAATAACTTGGTTTCCTATCTAAAAAAGCTCAGGTCCTGAAGACCTGCTGAAGTCGCCACACAAGTTAGCTAAACAGATGATGATCACAACTCTTCTGCCATTTATTTCTTTGTGTGAAATCTCAATTAAAGTTAGTCTGAAATAGTTTGACAGTATTAAATCTAAAAGCTTTAACAGCTCTTAAATATCTCCTTCATAAGCAGAAGTTCAAAATAGGTCCAAAGGTTGACCCTTTTTTGTCTAGTGGACTTTATCCTAGATAAGTTATTAGGTGTAACCACCTTTGACTGAAACCCTGTGAGGATTGGGTGCAACTTTTGTTTCTCAACAGCAAGTGGTTGCAACTTTGTTCTGATCTTAAAAGATTGAACTTAGTAGGGAAAAGGGAGCTTATCTCCATTTTAGAGAAGGTAGAGAACAGCTGGTAAAGGTAAAACAAAAGAAAGAATGAAAAAAGCCCAAACCCATTTTTTCAATCTTGCCTCATCCAAGCAGGATTACTTAACTATGCCTTTACACATCTAGAATTTAATTATTTTAAATAGACAAATGTCTTAAATGTGGCATCAATGATAAGATTTTTTTTTTTATTTGACAGAGTCTTGCTCTGTCACCCCGACCAGAGTACAGTGGCGTCATCATAGTTCACTGTAACCTAAATTCCTGGGCTCAAGCGACACTCCTGCCTCTGCCTGCCAGAGTGCTAAGATTACAGGCATGAGTCACCACACCCAGCCAACAATAAGATTGAGTTTATATGTATTTGGATCTTTCTCTCTCATCCCAGTTCTACAGTGTTTCTTACAGTACCTTTCCATAAATTCAGCTTCAGAGAAGTGCTGACAAAAAGCTTCCTTTTAACAAGCGTCCAGGGGATTCTAATGGTGATAAAGAAGTGAATAGAACAAGTGAGAGACTCATTCTCACCCTCTACTCAAGGGAAGAAATACCCAAATATTAACAGAAAGGAATAACTACACTGGAGTCAGGGAATATGGTTTGGGCTAAACTGAATTGACTAGACTTTCCTTTGGAAGCTCTTTCTTCTTTAGGTAATAAAGGAGGGATAGTTAGGTCAACCTGCTAAATTAATAGACTGGGTGGGGAGAACTATCATGGGAGAAAATAGCTAGCGTTATTGAGCACTTGTGTTGATTGCTTTATTACATGCTCTACATTTATTATATTATTCAATCCTCACATCAACCCTAGGAGATACTATGAGTGATATTTTTAATAATGACTTGATATTTAATACATCAATACTCAATTCAAAATACTAACCACAGGTTTTTCTTCTCCATACTTCTCTAGGAACTTGGTGTGCTGACTATCCAGAGGAACAAAAAGGTTGGCCTTAGAAGCAAGGACAAAGCTAATAGCCAGACACACCCTCATCTCTGCCCTTGTCCGGCTTTCACATATTATCTGTTGCCTTATTTCTGTTGCCTCTTCCACTTGTAAAATGTCTTTCACTTTCTGTCTAGGTTAAAGCTAAACTGAATCTATGGCTTTAAATAAATCAAGACCCTAAACTCTCTAGCTTAAATGTAAATGAAGTACACTAGTTTACCTACTGAACCTTTGCCTATTGTATCCCTAGAACCTTCTAGAACACTCTACCTTTTACCCTCTGCTTAGGAGATGCAGCCACCACATCCCTCCTATGATGCTTTTTTGAATAAATTTTCAAATCCTTACTGTTAAAAGTTGTTTGGGGGTTCTGTTTTAGAGCATAAAACCTAAAGATGATAAGAGAACAAGGCACCTTCTTAAATCTTGCTCAGACTATCACTGACACAAAATTTTTGAAGTTGAAGCAAGTCTGAATTCCTCTGAGACACTTTGGAATCAAACACACTGAAGGACCTTTTTAAAGATGTAGTTTCTCCTCTTTCTGAAGATCAATTTCTCCCGAGGCCAAAAATGTCTTTTTTTCAATCTCTTGCTAGCCATTGCAAATTAGGGAAAAGCATATTCATCTCTCCTCTCCTTTTCCCTCTGATTCTCTTTGCAGTCAGCTTTGCATCTGGGTTCATATAGCATTATCTCCCTTTTACAAGCAGAAGATTTTCATGGGGTAAAAAAAAAAACCTAATGATTCACAGATCTGGAGCCTCTTCTTTCTCAGTAATTGTTAGTCCCAGTAACTAGAACTGCAAATGGGCACAACCTGTATCTTTCCAATGGAATAGGAGGCCATTCTCTTGCACTGAAGTTCCAGAAGAGCAGTTAATATTGAAGAGAAATCAAAATCAACTCAGCAATGAAGGACTATTCTGAAGAGCAACATATCACAAAGCTAACTGTGTTTGTGCCAAATACATTAGGTGCTTCTTTGGGGTCATGCTAGGCCTTTATCAAGTAACTGGAAAACTTTCTTGAAGCCACAGTATCATAGTAAGTAGGAAGATAAATAGGGGGGAAAAAGCTGTAGAACAGGTATTTGGGGTTATCATTGAAAATCTAATGTCTGAGATATTTTTCTCCTCACAACCTTGGAAACTTTCCCAGTTCATTCTCGGCCCTGTTGTTACCAGGGTTCTCAAGAGTTTGTTCTTGCCAAAATGAGTTTTGTTCTGTTTTGTTTTGTTTATGCTGGATTTTTAATGTTGTCTCCTCACCCTTAATGCTCAGGTTCTTGTGGATGTTGATCAACCACATACAATGTTACCTTTAGGTGGAAGAAGAGGATAACTGCTCAGGATCTAAACAAGATGGTGGCCTCATGAACCGCTATTGATTAACCCCAAGTAGTTAAGCTAAAGTCCTGTGGTTTTATGTTTAATGGTAATAGCAGATCATATATGGCATAATTTTCCATCAGGCTTCTTGCTCAGTCATAAACACAGACTTGAATTAGTACTTTAAATGTCCAAATACCTAAATGTGCTAAACTGGAGGTTATTATTTCTAGGTAGTTGAATTTTTAAAAGTTATGATCAGCCACACAGCTGTTTTGTACATACTTATTTTCTCGTGCACTTTTCTGTATGCAAATAAAGCTATAAATTTACTCATTTTAATAAACTGGAATGGCAGAATCTCGTGTGTTACCATCAGTTTATTCTAATATTTGACCCTTGCTTTGAGTTGCACATTAGCAACAATTTATAAAACATACCAGTCTAAGGTGAGCAAATGTTAGTTATAATATACTCTGGATTGTCACAAAGATGAAGAGAAAGTGGAAATCCATGAAATAGAATTAGATAAGTAAATTATCATCTAATCTCTTTCAACACTCTCTTTATGCTTCTCTCTCAGACCCACACTGGGAGTTTAATGGAGTTCAGCAGGTAAGACCTGCAGCAGAACAACCTCAGCTGACATCTATGATAAAAATCATTTGTCAGTGAACTATTAAGGCATGAGCTTTTCACTCTTTGCCTCCTCTTATTTTTTATTCAGTCATATTTTACCTCACCAAGACAAGCCTGCTCTAGGCTGGTGCAGGCCACTCAGGAGAGCTGCTGTGTGAAGTGGGCAAGCTAAGGATCAGATGTTTTTTGCATTAGGGCATTCTTAAACATTCACCTATTATAAAAGTTCAAGGTTCTCATATCAGGAAGCCCTGCCACTACAAGGAAGAGAATCCCAAGGCCAGACCTTGCCTGGTTATAGAAGTCTTGGTGTTAATCCTAACTTCTCTAAGGAGTAAGACCAACTTGTGGGGCAGGGTCATCTATTGGTGTACACTATTATGGAATGTTTCATATTACTGCCTTACTGTTCCCTTAATGGGAACATTTGGTCCCTTTCTGACATAGTAAGGTGGAACATAGAGAAACAGACTCTACACAAAAGCAGCTTCCAGGAAAACAGAAAGTAAGCCGTGGATGAGCTGGAGAAGGCTGCTGAGAACATGTTGCACACAGTGTCTGGCTTATCCAGGTGCTCTGCAGTGTGTCTAACCCGTCAAGCCTGGGTGCTATTTCCACGTGCCTTAATCTGTGAGATCCTGCCAGAGGTTAACACTTGCTTGGATGTATAAGAGGAGGACCTTCATTTCAGTGCACCATTAGTAACTACTGTTGACCAAGCAGAGGGAAGTGCTTACTGAAGTGTTCCTGCAAACTGGGAACAGACTTGATCCTTACATAGTTTGCCCTCCCATCCCTGGGTTTCACATCTATGGATTCAACCTACCTTGGATGGAAAATATTAGGAAAATAAAAATACAACAATAAAAGATAATACAAATAAAAAAGATAACTATTTACATAGCATTTACATCCTATTAGGTATTATAAGTAATCTAGGGATGATTTAAAGTATATGGGAGGATGTGTATAGGTTATATGCAAATATTACAGCATTTTACATATGAGGCTTGAGCATCCATGGGTTTGGTATCCACAGGGAGTCCTGAAATAAGTCCCCTGTGGGTACCAAGGGACAATTGTAGTCTCTTTAATACTGGTAGTATTCATACCTGTGTGCCAGTTCAGTTTTTTGTGGTAACCCTATTATCCTGGGTATAGGGTTTTATTTAGGCATCAAATATATCTAAGCTAAAAGCTGAACTTTAACAGCCAGCATGCTACCAAATTTCTCACATAAAAGCAACACAAAGGGAGAAGCTATTGATTTTCTCAAGATAATCTCTCATTTGTGAAGTGCTTTATCATTTATGTGAAATAACTTTATTCCATTGATATTGTTCATAATCTTGTGAGGGGGATCTGTTACTGCTGCATCTAACGTGAGACTGGCATCCATGCTTTAAAATGGCTGCACTCTGCTCTAATTCTTTTAAGGGAGTAGTTTCCACAGGTATTTTATTATAAAGCTATGTGTTGTAGTAGGGAGATCCTTTCAACCCGGATCTCGGATTTCTCCATCCAAATGTTAACCATGGTGTCTAGAGAGAGCCAAACAGAGGATGATTCCATGTCTTTCCTGTGCTGACAATAAGGAGAGGAATGAACAGGGGATGTAGCTAACTCAGGAGTTCAGTTGACCCTGGAATAACCTGATGAGTGAGAACTCTGACCCATATTCCCGGAACAGGTTCAATACAAAGTCTTTAGTGAAAGCTGGGAGCTTCCCAAAAGTCCCTGGTAAATATTTAAGCTATTACCATTTGAGGATATTGCTAAATAATAAAACACCTAATTCTTGCTGGGAAATGGTATGTTTTTAACTAATTCCATTCTATTAAAAATAACTAAAACTCACGTTCTAAGTTGATGTGCCAAATATGAACATGCACAAAGCTGTGCACCAGCAGCAGCTCTGATAACATGTCCTAATTACAGCAGTGCTGATGGACAGGAGTTGGCCATTTGTCATCTCACCTAATGAGTGACCAAGCCCCTCATTTACCCTTGCTTTGCTGGAATTACGTCCTGTACTTAATTACTAAGCTTCCACCATGTACTGAAATCATACAAGCACTGGTCTCCAGGAAGACCACAGTGTGGGCTGCTTGGTAGCAAAGAAACTGGCCTTCTGCAGTGACCAAAGATGAGGTTGTCATAAACAACAACAAAAAAAGCCCAATTCTGAAATTGTTCATGATGAAGTTTTCCTTGTAATACTGGTTATGGAGTTTTCTGTGAATTCTATATTTATTTGGTTGACTTCAATCATTATTATTTTATCTTATTTGTAAGAAAGGGAAATTTTTACTGTCCTAAATGTTAAAGCAGCAGTCCCCAACCTTTTTGACACCAGGGACCAATTTCATGGAAGACAATTATTCCACAGACTGCAGGGTTGAGTGGCGAGGTGAGGAGTTGGAGCTCAGGTGGTGATACGTGGCCCAGTTCCTAACAGGCCACGGACTGGTACCAGGCCATAGCCCAGGGATTGGGGACCTCAGTGTTAGAGGGTGACCTGACTGGGCTGGAGTTGAGTGAGGGCATTACTGGGGTGTATCTGAGGCTTCCTTCACTAAGTAACTACTTATAATGATTGACCATCATAGCCTCTTGTTTGAGGGCAGCTGAGAGGAGAGTATTGGACACAGGTGCTAACAGAGAGGGAAGAGGAAGAGAATGGAAGGTTGATATGATCTTTGTACCCTGTTTCCCTCACTGACCTGGTGTCTATGACACTGATGGTAAGAAATGATACAGCTAGAAATGGGAGAAGCTGTCTTCTTTTGATCAAAGACCCTGGGCACAAGCAGGCAGTTCACAGCTCATTTGTCCACTAGGAATGATTGAATTACAATAATGGAAAGGCTCACGGTGGCTAAAACTAGTGGATGTCTTAGATCAGGCTGCCATAACAAGAATACCATCGGGGTGGCTTGAACAACAAACATTTATTTCTCACAGTTCTAGAGGTTGGGAAGTCTGAGATTACAGTGCCTGCAGATCCCGTATCTGTTGAAAGCCATCTTCCTGGTTTGCAGATAGTCATCTTCTCATGTCCTCACATGGTCAAGAGAGCAAGCTTAGTTTCTTTCTCTTTTTATAAAGACACTAACTCATCGTGACAGCTTCGCCATCATGACCTTATCTATCCCTAATTATCTCCCAAATGCCCCATCTCCCAATAACATCCCATTGGGGATAGGGTTTCAATATATGAATTTGAGGAAGACAAAAACATATAGTCCTAACAGTACAGATTTGTTTTTCTCACACAAAAAGTCTCGGTTGACAGCTGCTGGTACTGGCTCAGCCACTAAACAAAACCCTCAAGAGCACAGACTCTTTCTTAGCTCTTCACTCCAACTTCTGTAGCCTTTGGCTTTTTGTTCTTGTGTTTATTGCCTAATGGTCACAAAATGGCTACATAGCTCCAAATATGATGTTAGTGTTAAAGGTGGGCAGAAAGGGAAGAGGTTGCACAACGAATGTCTGTTCCCCGTACCAGGCATTTCAGTTTTTCCCAGGGATTCCCAGTATACTTCAGCTATGACTCATTGGCAGGAATTTGGTCACATGGCCACTGCTAGATATCTTATATATAACTCAAGGTTTTTGTATAGGCATGGAGATGTTATTCTCTCCATTTCTGATTTGAATTATTATAATTATTCAATTTATCAAAGCTATACATCACTATAATTAAACAACACAATCAGTTTTGTAAGATTTGTTTAAAAAAAAAGCAGTCTACAGTTCTCCTCCATTTTTCCTTTCTTATTTTCTCTTTCTCAGGAACTGTTTTCAAATCTATTAGCAGAATCTTTCTGATTTACTTCCATATCTCCAGAGAACGTGCTTTAATTGATCCTAATTAAAGGGGAGGCTGGGAAATCAAGCTTTTAGCTTTACCAACCCTTATTGTGAAGGTAGTTAAGGAAGTGGCAGGGCTGGCTACATAATTTGCAGAACTCAGGACAAAATTAAAATGTGAGGTCTATTGATCAAAAAGTAGGGAAAAATTGCCACTAAAGGCACTAAAATATAAAGCTTTTTCTTTTGAAATCTCTCTCTCTCTTGATTTGCCAAAGTGTATTTTATTTGTTATTTAATTTTGCTCTAAATAAAGAAAAATTAAAATTTTAAAATATTAGCATGAATTTTACAGCTAACCTTTAACTCACATGTGGAGTCACTAAAATTACACAATTATATTTCATAACTTGTATATGCATATGTCTATGCATTTATATAAATATTTTCTTCTTTCCAGAACAGTGGAAACACTACCCAAAACTAACTCAACTGCTTTTATTTCACTTCTGGACGCATGTACATTCTATCAATACTCTCTATCTTTAACTCACTGAGGAGTAATGAAGGACTGAAAAAGAGGAACTATGAGTTGCCCTATCTTCTTCTTTTTTCCTATGTCATTATTTCTGGTGTAATGGGTTGGCTAACGCAGGGAAGTAACACAAGTAAGAAAGATATGACAGTATATCTTCATCATTTGTGCTTCATCAAGTTCTGGTTCAAACTGAAAGTGTGGCCTCTCCTGGCCCTCAGTGCCCACCCCCACCCCTGCCCACCTACTCAGTCATAAACAGCACAGGTATCTCATACTCAATTTTGCTTTGAGTCACACATCCTGGGCCCACCTGAGTTCTGTGCTTAAGGGGAAACGCACATACTACGTGCGAATAGGCTAGTATGGAAGGG